ATACATATATTGGCTAAATCAAAAAATTATTAAAAGAGTTAGCTAATTCTGGATCCAGAAATTGTATTATAGTTTTTATTTACACAAGATAGAAATTAATCACATTAAAATACACATACATATATATGTTGCTTAAGAAATACTCAAATATAAAAAAATTCATTACATTGCCAATATTTTCTTGACTATGTCAAATGAATATTACACATAAATGTATTACATATATAATATATGTGTGTGCGCTCATACATTTGCAAATTTGATCCATACACTGTGTATTTGTGTTGTGAATTATTAAAACATAACACCAGAGAATAAACAATTTCAATATTAACATTTGACTTTTATGTCATGTAAAATATTCATGTTATTCGCCTTACATTCGCATACACACACGACGCATTCAATTACGCGATTCTTGTTGAAAAGTGCTTGTTTATCATGAAATATAAATATATATAAATATAGAAGCATGCATGTGATACAACCGATTGAAGGCGCCAGTGCAAAGAGCGGAATGTAATGAATGCTTTCACGGTTATTCCGAAAATATATGCAAAAAAAAAAAGAAACGAACAAAAATCAATTATCAGTGCGCACATTATACGATGTATATATGTATGTATGTAAATATGTATATGTACATACATATATCATTATGCTTTTACGACATAAGCTTTTATTACATTTCATTTATTATGGTAAACTGATATTAGCTTCTGTAATCGATTTACAATGTGTATCTGGGGATTTGATAGCGAACTGAGCACTATTTTTTATTGCAATACAAAAACAAAGTAAAGTAAAAGTAAAAAACATATAATTATTTGAACCGATTAATAACAAAACTATTTTACTGTGTATTTAAGCAATTTAAATGATACGTAAACAACAATTAAATATCATTCGTATGCAAATGCTTTCGACCATTAACCGCAGCCGTTCAAAGTAGCTGCGTCGATTGTGTAAAATGTCACTCATACGCCACGGTTGCCACTGTTTTGTGGTTAAACATTGTAAGCATGGAGTAATGAATACTTGCTCTCCCTCTATCTCACATTCTTACTAGAAATGGATTTTCCAATAATAGGTGTTATTTTGAATGGCCTGACAGTCCGATAGAAGTTATTTTTGAAGCTGTAATTTTCTGACATTTGACAAGTAAAAACCGGACGATCATCCACAACGTCGTGTTTTTCCTGTTTGGGTTCTAGAAATGTACGAAAACTATCCGGAATTTCAACCAAAAATCATACGGTCCTATAAGTCTAGTCGTGACGGCCATGTGGCTTGATGGTTTTCCATTATTAATGGCAGGTCTACTTCTTTACATTCAAATAAACATCCGATAATTTATTTAAAAAAATTTGGTGGATATTAAAGAGGGGGTCAGGGGTATGGTGATATGCTTTCTTGACCATAATTATGTGCCGAATTCGCAAGAAGTTTTTATAAATACTAACAGACTCATCCCTACGTTGCTGTGTGTTTCCGTATTTTCTCCAATTTTAGCTGTAATTTGCTGTAGCCCGTAGCGAGAGTGCAATAAAATTGGGAAACGAACATACCTACGCATGACCTATGGTCGATATGATACTAAACCGACCCTTTAATACGATTTTCCTGAATAGGTCAGTCCCTGGTCCACCTATCGGAGAGAAGAGTAGTATTTTTTTTGATTTATCTATTGTAGGTAAGATTTTCCCAAATACATCAGTCGCAATGGTTCATTTACCGAAAAAAATTATTCTTACAAACATTTCCATGAACCATGGAAACAATCCAACATAATCTCAAGTTAATCGGTTGGTAACTTCTCGAGATATACGGATCTTTATAATCGAACGAAAGATGTATTGTATATATATACATATTATGTAATGAATAGAGAAACAAATAAAACTTAGTCCTGCTCGAATTGATTGAATTGATCTTTAGCCGAAAATATTCACAAATATTTTATTTAAATAAGCTTTGTAGTGGCACTAAATTTGCTATGGAGAATTTTCTTCTGTCTGATTGTAGTTGTAATAAATGATCCTTGGAAGACATTGTAATGCTTGGTTATCTCATACTCGTAATAGTTGAGGGCATCAGAGTATGGTTTCACAGCACATTTTGCCATAGAGTATGGATCTGGATTTCTGATCTACAACGTTTTTATATTCCTATTCGTTCCAGTCTGAGGATCATATACAGAAAAGATAGCCAAAGCATATGTAAGGGGCGGTGTAGTTCAGCTTCTCCGACGGCTATGCGAAAAATATTATATTTTGGCGTCTTTTATACCGCAATTTCTCCGCTTAAGTATATCACACAAGGCCAAAGAAGGAAGATTTTGTAAAGGTAATTATAGGTATTTCGGAGAAGTTGATGGTAGAGCTCTAGTTATGAGGATAACTGCAGATTTCCGGACTTTCACTACTGTGATCCTAAAAAAAGGTCTCTTAGATTGGCACCATGAAATACAATTGGTCCAATTACCTGGGTACGTCACCAATACTAAATATTCGGTCTCAAAAGCCCCTATCTCTTGCTAATAACAAAAGTAGGCATCTGTTATGTGACAGCTCTAGTGGAGTTTGCTGTCTAAGTTTAACCTTGAATATTGGAAGTCACGACGTACAGAGAGCGTTCTCTATGCCTTTTGTTCGTTGTAGGGGAGGGTTTAAGGGGAGCTGGAATTTCTTGGTACGGGGTATTTAAAAGTATAACATTTTATGTTTCAGTGTGTTTTTCTGTCGCTGTTAGGACAAGGTTGCCTGTGTATGCTATACCATTACAATCCATGCTATTTACGTTCCGAATAAAAGAGTTTACTTTACCACAGCAGTGAGATAAATCTCATATTTAAGGTATGCTACTTGTGGTCTCTCTGATGATACAGCGAAGCAAAAGTTTATTCGGAAGAAACATCAAGATACACTTCCCAAACTACCCATATAAAAACCCGTATTCGGCACGGCTGCTGAGCCCTGCTGTATAATAAACTTAAGGAAAATGTAGCTGCGTCTATATGAGAGAAGAAAGATTACATACCATCCGAAAATATTTCATAAGTCTTCTTTGTTGCCAGTATGGGTAGTAAATAAAAGGGAGATAGGGTGTTTGGTGTAAGTGTCTCGAAATGGAAAAAAATGATGCCACAATTTTCTTATTGAATAGTCTAGGCTTCTGGAAAATATAGTCTAGCTTATAGGTATATAAAATTCGCGGTGCGACACTCATTTCTAACCCTTCCATACACATAACGAACTTTGCTGACGCTGTTATGCAATTATTAATAGTTGAAGTCAGCCCGGGAGGTTTTTTCAATTACTTCGGAAAATAGGAAGCTTAGGTAAATAGACTTCGGCATTAGTGGTACTGCTGCCAGCATGCTACAGTCCTCACACAAACTACCCGAAGCAAATGATCCGACATATAAAACACAACTTTAATGAAAAACCAACAAAAGCATTGCATGAGCCCTTTAATTGCAACTAAACAAATGTACTAAATACATCAGAAATATTTACTAGTCCCTTAATTAGAGAACTTTCTCAACACAGCTACTTGATGTATTTGTAAAAATTACGGTGATTTCATGTCATCCGTAAGAGCTAAAGTATGTGATAGGGACAAAAGAGGATGGTTCCTTCCACCAGTTACTATATTGGCCATTAATAGAATGTTGTATCTCTTTTGAGAGAGCAACTCTGTCATTAGTATCATTCTCCATGACAAACGAATATCTAGTCAAAATCCGTATAAAATCAAGATTTTTCAACACAAGGCTAACGCCTCAAGATCTAATCAAGCCCGATGCAGCCTATAGCGCCTTCTTCAAGTGGTTGGAATTTCGTATATAGGCAACGTTTCCGCCATGATGTGAAGATAGCACTAATAACTCGCTTCTCGCTATCCACGTCACGTTCTTCGCTAGTGGACGAGATATCTCTAAATGACTTGAAATGAATCTTAATCTTGTGCCACAAAAACAATACAATATATATATATAACACTTGGATACGAGCGGACGGTGAGTCTCTGTAACAAATAAATAACGTTTTATTGGTTGGAAAATATGCACCAGCGATCTGGATTCGTTGGGTCCCAAATTTAGTGGAAGCGCAAGACTCGAAACCAAGTCATTTACGTTGAGATGGATGGTAGACGTGTTATAGTGCTTTATATAATATATATTTATGCACACTACGAAAACCTAACATCGACTGAAACCACTTTCTTCTTGCAGCCAAAAACGCGCGCAAAGCAGCACGAGGAAGATTGGCCGTCAGAAACCCGTCATCAAAGCAGAAAATCAGCTTTATTCCTACTCCTCTCCTGCATTGCTATTTCAAGTTTCTAAACGGAAGATTTATGTTTTTTTCTAAACTATCAACTGCGGTTACGCCAGACGATTGAACAACCAGGTCTTTGGGATATACGGCGACACTGGCGCAGTCGAACGAGTAAAAGGAGACGCCTGCATAGGTTCGGTTAAGTCATTCGTTGAAGAAGAAGATCTTTACGCTGGACATAAGATCAAGTGGGGAAGAGTCTGGTATCCCTTCGCTGATATGAAACAGCAAAAGAAATGACTTGCATGCTATTATCAACAGAGCTAGAGCCGCATAAGAAGTGCTTACGCACCAACTAAGAAGAAGAAGAAGCACTTTTGACATTGAAGTACATAATTGCTTCCAGCGATTAAAACATAAAGGTGTGTACCCATATTATCTCACATACTCGCAAAATTCATGCATGTTATTATTTGCTTATCGCATGCTATAAATCAAATAATTGCTGACCAATTTGTATCACTTGCGCTAATCCATAAACCAGACGTGCAGATAAGAGTTGTACGCCGGTTTTGAACTACAATAACAAAAAAGATAAGCGCTTATATTACCTCATGATAGAGTTCTAGTTCCAAATCCAAAACTTATGGCGGCATTCTCACATTTTATGCCCCAAAAACTAGCAGTTACGTGAACTACTGAAAACAATTTCTATAATTAACTTTTACAGCAAACAATTTTATTACTTTATTGCAATTCAATTCAACACATAGTAAGCCCACTGTACATCAGATATCCATTTGATAAAGCGTGAGACTTCCGTATAAACTGTTGGACTGCCCTTGGAGCCGCATGGTGTGTAGCCCCACGAAGTGATGCCAACCAATTCAGTACCGCCCAGCGTTTCGTGCACTAACGGACTGCCACCATCGCCAAAGCAAGCCAAAGTTTCCGCGCAAATTTGATTGCTGCCTAACGGTGTGTCCTCTGGCAATTGTTCACGACACTGAGTCTCAGACAAGACCTGCGCGCTTCCCACTTGCAACTGCTTTGCATACTGCTCGGCATCGCGTCGAGTGAGACCCCAGCCATAAGTGACAGATGTTTTGTTAGCATAATCCTCATTCCGATATGGCAAAATAACGGCATTGACATCGGCGCCAAATTCAAAGCCAGGCGTGACATGCAGCAGCGCGATATCTGGCGAACCCTCTTGACTGGCGTTGAATTGTTTGTGAGCAAAAGCGAAATCAATTGTACGTATTTGTGCATTTTCTATATCCGAACGATCCTGCAAACCGGCGTAGACGGGTAAGCCAATCACATCGGTCGCTGATTCCTTCAACTCCTCCAGACAATGCGCAGCTGTTAGTACCCATTCCTTGCCGATGATGGCACCCGCACAGACGTGTGCATAGGCAATGGCGGAGATGCTCAGTGAAATTAGATAGGATGTTCGCGATGACTTCGTTGCTGGCTCACCGCCTATTATACGCGCTTCGGGTTGGATATTTCTAGTGGCTTTCGTTAGACTTTGACGCAAGGCAGCGGTGTTTGGCGTTGCGCACGCTACGTCGATGAGCAGTAGACCAAGCAAAAAGAACTTCATCGCCTCAATAGCACTTTATAGTTGGATTATCACAAACTAAATGCCGCGCCAAGCTCACCAGTAAAGGCTTTTATTTGACTGATAAGTAAAACCTTGGTACGATAACAGTAATTTGACGATATCAATTGGCCAAATAAAAGTTGCGTGCTTATATGAAGCCATGCACTTGGCCTTTATTCAAGGAGAGCGAATGCCCAACTGGAGCCAATTTCAGATAAGTTTTTGATGAGGTTAGGTGAAAGGACCGATCCAATCACGAGTCATACTCTATAGAGCAATTGAATTGAGCTGGAAATTTCTGCACTAGCTCGTAGATTTGTATTCTTCAGATACTGAGACCGCTTGGACAATAAGTAGTAGAAGATTCTAATCAAGCTGAGTTAAGCCACAACACAACCGGAGATCTTCACTTAAAATATCAATAAACTCTATCATGCTAACGCATTTTACAGAGATTCACAGAAGCATAAGGCAAATGAAACCTCAATGCTTCACGAAACGTGAACTGCTCTGAGACCTATATCTTCGGCTTCAAGCCACATGCGCCCAGTATAACCGGATTACAATAGATACTAGTATATAAGTGAGTACATGATTAGAATAGGTTAGGTTAGGTAAGGTTGTTGTGGTTACCGATCTAGTAGTATTGAATTCACTTAGGCCTGGCTAAGATCCATTGTGATGCCTCAAGAACTTGGCTACATTATCCATTCATTTTGATTCTCTAATGAACATCATAAGATTTATGACTTTGACGTCGGCTATCCTTGATAGGCTATCCAGCAGTAGAGTTCAAATTACCGAAACCTAACCTCACTAAATGCGGAACAATGGCATAAGTGATGGGTGATCGTGTCTTCCTCATCCTTGCAGCTTTTGCAGCATCTTCTAGAGGGAGTCATAGTTTCGCCACGCGTCGTCCTAGCAAACAGTGGAATGTCAGAAATTCTATTACTTTTTACTTGGACATTTCCCTTCTCTTTAAAAAGTATCTCATCTTGTGCCACTGAGAAATAGTTACCAAGTGGCAAAAGACTTACAAATGCATTCTGTATCGATAAAAATCTGCTTGATCGTACATCATCAAGGACCCACGTGAGTGACTGTCAACCCGGTTTGATCATCTTCTGTAGACATGGGTGACAGACCAGCACTAATTTGGAATTTATTGTAAATGAGCCCAGTGCTTTTATGGATGCCTGACTGTGGATATAAAAGAATATATCCTTATCTTTAAAACAGGCTCCGATTTGCTTTGCAACCTCCATGATAGACGAAATCTCCACCCGGAGAACACTGCAATGGTTAGGTGGGCTGAAAGAAAGTTTCGTCGGAGGGTTTCCTAAGAAGACACCTGCACTAACTTACCCCTCAAGCATTGATTCATCCGTGTCATCAGTTATCTACCTATTCCTTCTTGCTGGAAATTAGTGTTCTGAAGTAGTTATCAGTTACGTGATACCAAGTTCGGTATTTAACCACTCCAAGTTAGGGCCGAGCTCCTCCTTCAATATGCGGCCTACGTTTTGATTTCTGCACCTTTCATTTCATGCCAGAAATGCACTAAGTGGTATTAGCGTACCCCTCTGAGGTTAGAGCGTAATTAGAAAAATTTATATTGGGTGTTGTTTTGTTCAGAAACCAACAAATTCTCTACTTATTATCTATATTGAAGAAATATCAAAAACGAATATCAGATTGAGAACTCCAAAAAGATTTTAGTATTTTTCAAATAGAATTAGCTCCAAATGCAAAAGTACTTCTGACTTTAAAGTACAAACTTTAATCCCAACATTGCCAACGAAATGAACTCCGCACGTCAAAGATCATCTCTTTGTATGCCGCACTAAGTGGACTCGGATAAAGCCGCTCTCTCTATGTCTCTCTCTCTCTCTCTCTCTCTCTCCTTATCTTTCGCTTGGGTCTCAAATGGTCTAACCTACCTGGACCTTCTATTAAAGGACCTCGATCAGCTTTCTTTCCTTCTTTTCAACCTTAATGCGTACACGTGCGTGTTCCATTTTTTGCCTTTTATGATAATGTTAAACTTATTTCCAGCAATACACACTCTCTCCTTCAAATTGAGTGCCTTGATGGTCGGACGCAAATAGAGTGCATTTTATTATGCATTCACCTTTTGGCAAATACGCATACATACCTGCTACACACACACACGCGCACGTACACACCACACACCACACTACACACTGCGCACAGACAAACACTTCAGAGGTATGAGTGTTGCAGGCGAAGTAGCGATAACTGCAATAATATAACGGTAAATGCAAAGCAATTTCATGGTACAGTGAAAATACATTCGCCCCTTTTGTTTTACGCTTCATAAGCTGCACGAGGTGTAAGTAAGGTCATTCAAAGGACGCAGCGAGGTGATGATGAAGTACATGCTTACATACAGACATATGTACGCACTTATGCGGCATAAATATACTCGTACTTATAAATACAAGCGCACACATCTGCATGCAAGCACAGATAAGTAGTACGTACATATATTCAGATACACCTATACACAAGTATTAATACTCATCGTTCTAGTCCTTGTGGAAAATCAGCGCGTTTGCGTATCCCACAACGCTTTACTCTACTTTAGACAAATGTCCGGCTCATAGCGCAACCCGACCGGGCTTTTGGCTTTGTCTATTGCGCTGTGTTGTGTGTTGTGTGTTGTGTGCTGTATTATTCCTGACTTTTCTTTTTACGCACCTCAATCCAAGCACACTGGTGGCTGTTGTATCCACTAACACTCCAAACAGTTAAAAATAAACATGAATGTTTATATATACAATATATAAAAATACATATGTGCCTGCTGAGGTATGCCGTTAAGTAACTATAATACACAAATATACGAATATACGTATTATAGTTACTTACATACATACATGCAGACGTTTGGTGGAAAAATTAAAGTTGCTTTTTTACTAAACTAGCGAACTGTAAAACAACAATTTTCTAGTATGTCTGGTGAGCAAAAAAAACCTGAGTTGTACTTCGTTGCGACACATGTAGTCCTAAGTTCACACATGAAATATTATTTCCTTTCACATTGTTGTTGGTTAGAAGTTATATATGTGTATGAGGGTTGTACACAGCTTTCTCTTCAAATTGAAATTTAAGAAATTCAATTCAAGCTCCATCTTCAAACAGGATCATTAGGCGTAAAACCATGTCATGAACTTTGCTATTCACACAGGCATTCAATTAGTTGATACAATTAAGGTTTGACAGCAGATACGGTTTTTATGTTCAGTGCAAAGTTTTTACAACAACATTGTATTCAAAAATATAGACATAATTATTACACAGGGATATCCATTTTGTGGTTTTGTAAATAAACAAAAATAAAATGCATTTAAAATAGACTTTTTTCAGGAATTTTTTAAAGCTTTTGACACATATTGGGCGCTATCTCTGCCATGACTGGACGAATGGTTTTTAAGTAAAAATTTATCCCCATAAAATTCTCTTTCATGTAGCCTCACATCCGAAACTTCACACAGTGTCAAATCGCACGTTTTCAGACTCCAATTCACATCACAAAGACGAGAGATTAAGCGACAACATCTTGTGGAAACGGCCTATTGTCCAAATGGTGTTCTTTAATAGCAGTCAAAAAGAGTCGAATTGACAGCGACAGTCTCGTCGTTATCGTTTTCAAAAAAGAAATATCCAAGCACAAAATTTTTGGGCGTAACGACCACGCTTCAATTACTTCAGGATTTTTGGAGCTTGAAACACAGCCTAGTATTCGAAAATGTGAAGTGTTTCAACGCCAGAGCATAGACCCGAGGGTGATCGAGTGACTTATGTTCAAAGCGCACTGAATTTATGGAGAGAAAACTCCGTAAAAAGGACGAATGCAGTGAAATAGTAACTACAAAGATGCAACACCATACCGACCATAAAATACTTTACTTTTCAATTGCCTACTTAGTCCAAAGTAGCATCTGTTGTCAAGAGTGATTATGCGTTGGATTTTCAGGCTAACATTGTTGATGGTTCCAAAGTAGACGAAATTATCTACGACTTCAAAGTTGTGACGGTCACAACACAAGTGACACGGGAGCCAAGTTGCGAATACGATGACTGTTTGTTTGATGACAGAAGATATTTCGTCGTGCCCTAGTTCGCCGCCAGGCTTATAATCTTTACTTGCTTGCAGTCAGGGCCCAGCTGCTGAGTTTAATAATGTCAATATCAGCGGCATACGCCAGCAGCTGTACACTGTTAGAGAAGGTTGCACCTTCTCTATTCAGCTATACCGCTTTTATTATGTTCTCCTGCAGCAAATTAAAGAAATAACAGGATAAAGAATCATCCTGCCTGATACCTTTCTTCCCGATACTGACGGAGCTATTAGTGTTGCTTAACGTAAGTTTACATAGCCGGATAAGTTTTGCGGGGATAGCAAATTCAGATAAGGTGGCATAAAGACAGCTCTATTCGTGCTGTCGAAGTCGGTTTTAAATCGACGAGAGGTGTGTGTGTGCACTCTATTTGTATTAATATTTCTTGGCAATGATTAAGATCGAAAACAAGTCGAGCGCCTATAAACGGATTTCCAATAAGAGGTTTTATATTGAATAGCCCCCTATTCCCGTTAGATGTCGCTTTCGAAACTGTAGTTTATTGAGTTTTGACAAGTAAGAACATACCAGTAATAAAAACGGAATAATGCACACTTCAAAAACGCTTTAAAATTATTAAAATTCATTTTAAAAATTTTATTGAAAAATTATCTGGACTGATTTCCAATTCGATGGCTATACCAATAGACAAAAATTTCAAATTTGGAGCTCGGATAACTCAATATTTATTAATGAAAAGCCTCTGCTCCCCTACGTGTAACTGTTTGATGTGGTTTATGGTTCGGTGGAGTCATTGCACCTTATTTTTTCGAAAATGAATACTTTGCGCTATCGAGAGATGATTATCGATTTCTTATGCCCGGAATTGTATAACATTAATCTAGACAACGGTTACTTTTATCAAGACGGCGCTACATGCGGCATCAGCAACGCAACCATCGTTCCTTGCAGGGAAAACTTTCTCTTGAAAACCTTGTATATAATTCGCTTTATTTGGATTTCACAATTTTTATTAGTCCCAATAACAATTTCCGAGATTCGTTAATTTGTAATGACGAAAAGTAGAGTTATGTAGAAGAGTATGCTTTATTTTTGTTTACTAAATTCAATGTAATTTCCCATCTTTCGATAATCAAGATTACCTAATAACGTCTGCGTAAATCGACTGATTGTGCCGAATTAAAATATGGTTAATCAATCAAATTGTTGGTGCTTCGATAAGTTAACTTAATCTTTTTTTATAGCCGTCACGCTCCCACTGTATATAAATACATACATTTCTTATCATAGCAGGTATATAAACCGGATTATTTCGACATTTCGACAACAGTTAGTACTTGTTCATTGCTAGTATGAAGGTATTCGTTTTAATCGCAGTTTTCGTGGCTTGCGCCAACGCATCGGTTTTCCAAAAATCCGTGATCGGTTTCCCCGGTGATCATGTGCCCGGTTTCCCCACTGGTCGTGTAATTAAGGGTCAGGATGCCGAGCCGCACTCTGCACCATACATCGTCTCGTTGAGCAGTAAGGCAGAGAGTCACTCACACAAATGCGGTGGCACCATCATCTCGAAGGAATGGGTTTTAACTGCTGGCCATTGTATTTCGACTGCTGTCGGCATGGGTGTTATTGCCGGTCTACACACACGCAGTGATGTCAATGAGAGGACACAATCTCGTGTTGTGGACTTCGGTAAGGTGCACCCCAACTTTGGTGGCGGTGTTGGTCCCTACGATATTGCCATATTGCACGTATCGGAACCCTTCGTCTTCAACGAGTGGGTAAGTCCCGCCACTTTGCCACAACGTGAAGAAATCCACAGTGGCGAAACTCATCTTTATGGTTGGGGACAAGTGAAAGCATTTAATTTTAATGCTGCCAAAATTTTGCAAACCGTCCAAATTGAGATCATTGAATATAACGAATGCAAGGAAACGCTCTCCGAAAGTGCTCCACTCGAAAGCACCAACATCTGCACATCTTCGTTGAGCCAGGGTATTTCCGCTTGCAATGGCGACTCTGGTGGCCCATTGGTGAAGGAATATGAAAATGCGCCTTCAGAATTGATCGGTATTGTATCGTGGGGCTACATTCCTTGTGGTATGGCCAATTTGCCATCGATCTTCACACGTGTTTCATCGTACATTTCATGGGTGGCTCAAGTTCAAAGCGCTTTCTATACCCTGTACTAACTGTTGTATCGAAAATAAATCTGTCATTTAATAAAACAAATGAAGGAAAATAGAGAATTTGTTATAATTTACTAGCGTTAGCGTGGATGTTTTTGTTTCAGTGTAGATGAGTAAAATAATAAAAAAGAAAAGAATACAATCATTAACCAAACTCTGGGCAAATTGTAGCTGAGAAGCTTCCTTTGCTTTTTAAATCACAATATTTTCATTTCTATTATAAGAAGTAAAGATTCTGGCTCCTGAACTACGTTCGTGCTGTTTAAATGTCGCTCTCTCCTCCCCCTTTAGCCTCGACATCTCACTCGCTATCATATTTTACGAGTGGTTATCAGTGAGTACCGCCATGTGGCGCGTCATCGGTTCCGCATGTATTTCTGAGAAGAAAGAGTTTTATCAGCCATTCGGAGACAGCGTAGCATAAAATGTGAATTCCTCTGTTTGTTTTTAAACAAATTTGGATCCTATGAATTATATAAAAAAGGAGCTCAGGCGAGAATCGTTTCATATATGTATAAACTCGTATACTAGCAGACTCGGCCACTCGTTGCTGTGGCTTTCGGTTTGTTCTCTAATTTTGACTTTCTTAAAGTCATTAAGGTCATTAAATCCACCTACATATATATCAAACTTCAAGTAAATCAACCCATAAGTACAATATTTTAGAATAGCCCGGTGCCTGGCCCACTTTCCGGAAAGAAGAGTATTCTTCCTGTTATTCTACCACCTACCATATTTCAAGTAAATCGAAACATAAAAATTATTTTCGAATAGTTTGGTTCTGTACCCACTTTCCGTATTTCCATTAAATCAAACTATAAATACAATTTTTTCGAATGTGTCAGTTCTGATCAAAAACCACCTCAATCGATCGGTCGGTCGGTCTCTCGCGATTCTGCCTAATCTTTTGTATCATAGGACTAAATATCCCAGTATATACCTACAGAATCAACAATTCTTTATTTCTGTCTCTGATCTAAAATATCCCATAGTTTTCTCGTGGTTCCAGTTTTCTTCGATGTTCAGCACAGGAATTCACTTCAAGGCCTAAGAACATCGGAAAGCTACTTGTCGGTATTTTCGAGCCATCTATGAAATGTGAGCTCTAATGTTTGACCAGAATAAGCTAGTGGAAAAATTTCTATTCATGTGTCGGTAGAAATTGTTTTCTATACGGCTTCAAGAGCACTTTTAAAATATAAATACCAAAAAAAAAAAAATTTCCCAGTGTTCTAATGGATGGTTGTTATCTTAAATGCTAGTAAAAATATAGCCTTATTCTGGCATACTTTTAGGCGAAAATAAGTCTATTTTGCTAAATTAGGGACTAAACCTATAACTTTCTGCTTATAGTTTGCAGTGACTCTGAAACTTCTATTAACTTTAGAACTAAAAGCTGGTAAAACAAATATGTAAGTCAAGTACCCATTTCAAATTATTTATGCTTCCATTTTTATAATAAGAACCTAGAGAAGCCGCTAAGTTTAGCGCCTTATTGAGCTTTAAAATCTTCAATTTTACAAATTCAGCTACTCAGGATATTCTACACCAGAGAGCGCTTCAGATAGTTTTTTTGTTTGGATGTAATGTAATAAAATCTTCAACTCTTTGAGGATCCTCGGCACAACGTCGTGAATAATCAGCCCGCATCAGTTGTAGGTGTAAGTCCAAGTACGAAATACCCTATAAAGTCAACTCGCTTGAATAGCCAATTTTGTAGTAGTATTTAACAATTTTAACTCGTTGTGCAGTTGTTAGGCGTTGCATTTAAAAAAAAAAATGCCTGATTTTTAACTAAAACAAGACATATTTCAACTTTTCAAGCCACAAAATGAATAACCCTATACACCAATTAAGTCGTTATCTGATAAAGCAAATCACATGTGTGATCATCCAGTTACGTGCCGTATCTCAAGGCATGCTCAAACAACCATCCACATCTACTCGATATCATCATTCCCAAGAAGTGAGCCAAGAAGTTGGTCTAAAAACTTAAGCCTTTTTACCAACTGGTGCCATTTTATTTCTGTCAATGGCTTATCTTTAGCTCGGCGATTACCTTAACAAGGGAAATATGGGGCTTAGAAAACTCTCACGCATCCTCAACATGCATGTCTAGCAGCAGCATTATTGAACCCTTTTTATTTATAATCGAGGAATGTCGACAGTCACCATTTTGTGCTCAGAGATTTTTTGTTTCCAAATATTCAAATGAATGGCATGGACGATATGTGGTTGCAACGGTGCAGCGCTACATGCCACACACCCAACGCTACAATCGATCTTTTACGTACTGTTTTCGAAAATCGCATACTAAGCCAAGACAGTGATATCAACATTTCACCTCGTAGCTCCAATTCGACTGGGTTGTAATTTTTCTGTAAGAGCCACGCCGGAAAAGTGCTACGCCAAACGCGCGGAGACGATTCAAGACTTGGTAAGCGAGATTGAAATTTAAACGTCAAGATGTGTTGAAAAATTGTGTGGACAGAAGTGAAGAGGTTGCTTATGAGAAGCTAATGAGAAGTTTCATATCAGAAATACACTTGGCGAGCTTGACATTCACTGGACTCGAAATCGGATACAAGTTTTAGGTATAAAATTTCTTTCACCCCTATAATAATTTCTGGATCCGCCTCTGCTCCATTTGAAATATTATATTTTTTGAATTCCTTCAATGTTACTCGACCGCAGCCTTTTCGAAACAAGGATTAAATGGTTTTGGCTTACAGGACTGCGCAAATAAAGTCAAGGGCAGCGAGGGAAGATATTATCAAAGTTTGCTCACGTAATCTCGAAATGTGTATAAAATGAACGATACCATTAGTTATACAGAGAGATAGTCAGGAGTGAAAGCTTGAACTGATGAAGAGCGCACCAAAAGAAAAAAAAATATGTTGAAATTACGAAGTTCAGAAAACTAACAAAAGACTCAATAAAGATTTGAGGACCTTTATGACGACTACTATACCTCACATTAGACCACATCGCCTTCCGGCAATACAAAGGACCTAAGCGCCTAGGGAAGGCGTAGAAAGAAGCCTATTGAAATTTTCTTTATATTTTTGAGTGTTGTCTGTTCGGCAGTACACTCTGCACTATAATTTATTTTAAATAAAATTCTTATAAATAAATACACTTGATTGTACTAAAATTGATAAGACTTACATGCATACATATGACTGTTGCTTCATGCCAATTACTGCTCTCATGTGTAAACCATGATCCACAATCGACTCTATTATATGACCTTACACCGTCAAGCACTCTTAGCGTGCTAATTTAATCGCGACTAATCATATATTAAATGAAATCAATAAGATCTAAACAAACTGATAGAGACATAAAGCAATGTTAGACATTGGGTTTGAAGTTCACACGGCGAGTCGATGTCTTTTGTTTGTTGTTATTATAAATAGATTTGCAATAAATAATATTTATTACTCATATTAGTTTTGAGCGCTCGTAAAAGATTGCCGTTGCAGGTAAATTAAATAAATTAAATGCAATTAAATTCGGAGCAGACATTTTTATAAAGTGGGGTTTTTTTTTAGAAATGTGGTTTTCAAGAAGAAATGAAACGCATATAATTTAATGTTATGGAAGACAATTTAGCTTTATTATAAGAAGAAGGGCTTACAATTATCTTCTGAAAATGATTTCGAACATGTGAACCGAATAAATTTCAGCTGAAAGCCCCATTTTTGAATATTCCCTTCCTCGGTGGCTATAAGGCATGTAGCGCCAATTTGTTGGAACCAAAGATCGTTCATATCAACATCCAATTTTAATTCAGACACGAAAAAGTCATAATTCATCGCCTATAGGGCTACCCATTGACTGTATGATAATGTTATGGACGACTTTATTTTTGAAGAAATATGTACAATGATTCCCACTGCCTATAGACCACACCAAGTAGTTACTTTCTGAGAATGTAACAACGTCTCAACAACGGTTTATAGATTATCATCACCCCTAATGCGACAACAATTTTGCTTATTAACTCACCCGTTCTATCAAAAATTAGTTTCATCGCTGTACAAAATTTTTTTGTGCAAATTGGGATCGGCTTAAAAATCGTTTTGGGTACATTCACCGAACGTGCAGTGCAACACGCATGATGGTCGTTCGGTATCAGCCCTTGCATGAGTTGGATATTGTTAGCCCTCAAACCAAGCTCCTTCCGCAAAATCTTTTGGAAATTGGATAATTATAGCTCCAGTTGTGACTCGCAAAGACTGATGGACTCTTTCACTCTACTGCACAGCCGCAATAGCATCTTCCGTGCACACTATTCACTAGAGTAACCCTCGTGCGGAACGAAGGACAAAGTTTGACAAAATATGATTAATTTAATTCCCATATTCGAGTTAAAATACTAATAGCTTTTACTTGACTCAAGGCCGAATCTTCCAAACATTGATAACCATGGTAGGTTTGCTACTTTTGATGAGGACTGAAATCATAACATAAACTGGCAAACATATGTATAATAATAAACCTATCCACATACAGCAGAGTTTTTATTTTTGAACTTGGTACTTCTTACTTATATTGAATTTTCGCCTTAGGAGTCGGCGTTGAGAGTTTTCTAGAGGATGGTTTTACGTAAGATTTAATGCAGTCTGCATTGATGAGTTAAACGGTGACATTGACCTAGTTCAGCGATTGAATGAAAGCACTCCAGGTTTGATAGCATTCGATGCAGTACCCGCCGGTACTGGAAGAATCAGGTTGAGACCGACCTGGCTTCTCTTGGCATTGGGTGCCAAAAAGCAAAGAGAATTTGCCAACGCAAATAAAAAAAGGAGAAGGAAAATACGGAAGACAGATTTGTCTAGATCACGATAGGGGTATTTATCTGAAGTGAGAAAGGAGTTGGTATTTCAAGAAATTGTGGTTCAAGCCATTAACACTGACAGTGTTTAGCATATGAAACAAATATCCAGAAAAAAAGGTGATCAGTATTATTTAAATACAAGAAAGAAAAGCTGTCTTCAGACTTGTGAAGTCTTTATACTTTTCAGGCTTTGAGAAGTTTAAATAATTAATTATGCGTTGAGGAAAAGTTTCAGTAGAGAAGTTTGATTTGAAACTGGTTTAAAAAAAAACGTAAAAATCGTAGAAAGAAGTTTATTCAGAGGATGGCCAGAGCGAAAATCGAACGGCTAAATGCGTTCCCTCCATTCCCAGACTTCTAGCGACGAGTCAAGGATTGATCAGTATGAATATTTTCGAGCATTTCAAATGACAGTGGGCTAAAGTAACAATTAGCGTCAGAAATAACCGAGTGGTTAGCATTTCGTACTGCCATTCGCAAGGCTAAGGTTCAAGTCCTGGTTCAGCCAACGTCTGAATTAAATTTTTCTAATGCGGTCGCCCCTCAGCAGGGAATGATTTCTGACATAACGCGAAAACTTCTTATAAAATTCAATCAGCCGTCCGGTGGCGGGTTTATGTAAACTGTAGGTCTCGCCATTTTTTAAGAAAACAGCTAGACGCAAAACAACAAATTGGAGCAGGAGGTCAACCGAAAATCGCTTCAGCGGTTAAAAAGCCCCTACTATATATATATGTATATGAAGGAATGACAAAACAAAACTTATATTTAACCTAATAAATTCGATTTTTTCTGATAAAGTGAATTAATAAAGTTCAGATTTATTACAGCTGTGAGATAGCCAACGAATATTCAAGGATTAAGATCTAGAAACAGAACATTAATTGCCGATAAATAACGAAGACAAAATACTATGTCTAATATGCTTTTAACTCCCCATAATTTATTACTGAGAATAAATACTAGAACACAGTTAAAACTACAAAAACTTATCTACATACGTGTATGTGCAAAATGGTCAACGACAATCAGTAACAGGATGCATGCACTTCAAGCCCGATAAGTTGATAAGACGCTTCGATAGGCATTGCAAATATCATATAAATACCTCGGCTTGGTCGAAGGAAAATCAAAACGAAACAAGTGTTCGTATCAAAATGAAGTTCCTAATCGTATTCGCATTCGCATTAGTGGCCAGTGCTAGCGCTGCCAATTTGGACGCCATCTCGCAACCGGCATTCGCCTCAGGACGCATCATCAATGGCTACGAGGCGCAGAAAGGCGAAGCACCATTTATTGTTTCATTGAAAACAAGCTCCCACTTCTGTGCTGGTTCTATTATCGATGAAAACTGGGTACTTACCGCTGCCCACTGTTTGGTCTATAACAGCTTCCAAGTTGTGGCTGGTCTGCACTCGCGCAACGATGAATCTGATGTGCAGATACGCAAGGTGACCAGCAAGTCGCAGTACATCGTACATGAGGAATATGGCGGCGGCGTTGGTCCCAACGACATTGGTCTTATTTACATACCCGATGGTTTTGATTTGACTGCACTCGCACGTGACGGTAGTGCACCTGTTGACAAGGTATCTCTGCCTTCAGGTAAATACGAAAGCACTGGTGATGGCAAACTCTTCGGTTGGGGACGTGACAATTCCGGTGCTTTGCCCAATGTGCTACAAACCTTGGATGCCCAAATCATTGGCTACAGTGAATGCAAGGCTGCTTTGCCCCTTTTGGCACCTATCAAGGATGTGAACATTTGCTCATACACTGCTGGCACCACCGACGGTGCTTGCAATGGTGACTCAGGTGGCCCCTTAGTGCGTAAGACTTCAGATGGTTACGAACAGGTTGGTATTGTGTCATGGGGTTACACACCATGCGCCACCAGCAAGTACCCATCGGTTTACACCAGTGTCGCTGCTTACCAAAAGTGGATTAAGGAGCAGATCAATGCCTGAGTTAAACTTTGAACAAACGAAATTTGAGTAGTAATAAAATTATTTTTTGTGCAAACAAAAATTAAAGTTTTCATTAATGTAAAAATGTAAAAAAATAAATGAAGTAGGACTAATTGGGTCGGTATGCGTAAACTTTGAGGTCAGTATTTCTATTCAGCGACGAGCTCACGGAAACGAACAAGTTTTGGCCGACCGGTTTGGCCATAATTTATGCATAACCGATCGATGCCGCCATGGAAGAATAGTCAGTCGCAGATGAGGAAGGCATAGTACTTTCAAAGCACCTTGCTGTGAACCGTAACTGGAAAACATCCTCCTCACATTGCCCGCGCACTACCTTCACAATGAAGTATCTATGCGAACAGTAGCGAAGCATAATTTTATGGTTTATAGGTACGATCTGCTGTAGTGCTATCGTAGGAACGTCAGAAAGAAAGTAACATATAGTCTTTTACACCATTCAAAAATACACAATAGACCAGCTGAATGCAACGTGGCGCGAATCAGGTCTGAATACTCTAATAGACTCAGTTCCTTCCTTCCCGACTCGACCTTAACATACCTAATGTACATGTTCCTAGCATGTAGTGAAACCTCACACGACAGCAATCACTTATTTGCATATCTCCTAAAACTTACTGATCTAAAATATCCCGTTCTCTTATGTCCAAACAATTCGTTTCCCGAGCTTCGTGCGAGAGGACCTCGATAATATAAACTTTCCTTAAAACCAATCCAATGAAAGAAGAAGCTATATCGCAACGATATTCCACCCGACTTGAGCTCCTGCGTCCCAAGAACACCAAGGATATAACAGTCAACAAGTGTTGGTCGATATTTCGAGCTCTCTTCGTACCGTCAGAATAACAATTGATTTTCGACAAGGTCCACGCAAGAAATGAAATGATGTGTTACCCGTTACGAAACATGGAGGGAAAATAAGGATCTACTTATCTTCCAATGCTGCAATAGACTAAACTTGTTTGCAAGACGTCGAGAATTGAAGATCGAAGTAATGTGAGAGAAGTCGTTATATGCGAGTACGAGGTATTTAAAAAGTTGGAAGAATATTCGTAAATACTAAACAAGTAAAATGTGCAAAGGAATCACTGGGCAAGGACTCACAACTAAGTTAACAGCAGATACACTTTTTGGCCTACTTATTTGAAGTACGAATGCGTTTATGGAGAATCCGTAATAGAAGCATTTATTGGTGAGATATTCCTTCGTTATAGACAAGCAGTTGGAGCCAATGAGTCTCGAGGAAAGAAACTAAGGTCGGGTAAACGCAGGTATGATTTGATTCAACCTATTACAACACCGATTTATTATTAATATATAATATTTATCACAATTTTTAAACAAGTTAGTTGTTGCATGTCAAGCGCGGCTAAATCAAGTCACCTCCTGATTCGGTATATTTATGTATAGATTTTTCCAATTACCGAGTAAACCCAATGGTCGTGCAGAAATAAGAATTTTCTACTTACATCATCCCATCTGATGAATTTCTCGCCATCCTGTAGTGCCTTGGGCACCTCAACCGGTCCAATGGATACATACGTTGATGTGTTCAACATTTTGCAAACACTTTATACATCCATACGCGCAAATCGGTTAGCACTCATGAGTACGGGCGAACGATATTGATGGAATTATAGTTTATTTTCATTGTATTTATGGTTAAGCTCTCCAAAGCAGCTTCTAAAGCATGACGTGGATGATATCTAATTATAACCAGTTCATCCAGTTTAGCACCGTTGTTTTCAAGCACTAATCGTTATTCGTTGGTTAATTTGCTTTACGATTTCATTTTCAGTGAAAGTCGCAGTATTTATTTTTATAAAATTGTTTCTTCTTTTATTGTGTTGGTTGATTTTCACTCAAATCCTTCTCTTATTGACGCTTTACAGCAAGCTTTTGCCTTATTAATTGTAATTTTTACAGTATTCTTTACTAATTTACAGTTGCAGATTATATGTAGAAGACGCGTGCTGTATATCTATAATGAAAAAAAATGTGAAATCAGTTAAAATGGTATTTATTGTTATCTCAAGGTTTTTAATTATTTTTATTTATTTTATTTACTTATTTTCGAATATGGTTCGTAAGCCTATTTAAAATATTTTATAAATTGTTAGTTAGTAACCCTGTTCTATTTATTTTTTGAAAATACGAGTAACAAAGCCATTAATGAATTTTCAAAAATGTTCTGAATGAAAGAAGAACCGATTGGAAAATATCCTAAAAATGTTATTCCAGATCATCGATTTTGTTTCAGGAGGTTGCATGGTACGCCGGAGCAAAGTAATCGTTTAGTTAAAACAATACTTCGCTATTTGCAGGAAAAAAAAATTGTGCTGGACAAGCATTTGACAGAGACTGTCACTCAGGTCTGCTATTTAAAATTAAAAATATACTTCCCACAAAATTTTATCTCCTTCATAGATCCTACCTAAGTTACAGACATTACTGCGTAAAAATTCAAGATTCAGTTTCAGATATATAAGAAGTAAATGCTGGAGTTCCACAAGGTGGTGTGTTGGGTCCAACACTTTACACGATTTTCACCGCAGATATACCAATAATAGAGGGCACCAATATAACTGTTGCTACTTATCCATACGAAACTGCATTACTTTCTTCATCCTTCTCTGTAATCTAGGCTGCAGAAATTTGTTCAATTGAATGAACAAAACTGGCTTACCAAATGGAGCATTTTGGTAAATGCTCCAAAATCTGTCGATGTCACTTTCACACTAAAGAAGGAAGAATGCTCAAATCTCAGTCTCAATCAAGCCGTAATTCCTAGAATCATAGTTCTTAGCGTCTTGTACTACATTTAAATAAGAGATTCACTTGACGTAAACATTTTAGAATCTTAAGAACCCAGCCAGAAAAGTCTATTAGTTGCTTGGCCCAAAATCTTAAATATTAACTTTATAAAAAATTTTAATAATCAGAAAACCCCACGCGAACCGTATTGGGTCAACATAATCGCTCAGCAGAGTCGGTGATTTGAGCCACAGTGGGTCGATTTCCGCGTTCTCAGAGACTCAGTGCGTACCGAAGATTATATGCTGCTGTGTAGCAGAGTATCGAAGAAGACCAGATCCACTATAGTGCGCAACAATTGGAGCTGCGCTCAACCACTTTTAGTGGTCTTGCATACTAAAAAGGTCACTTTTTGGTGTGCTCAATAGGAAAAGGGATTGAGCCATGATTTTACCGTCTCTAATGGGAAATCTATAGAACTATGACCAATGACTTTTTCGTAACCGAATTGAAGGATGTTGATGTGGACGACTCTCGACAGCAGTTTTATCTTTATAATAAAGCTGAGTCCTTGCCCATAAAAAATAATAATTTTTATTCATTTTATTTCTTCTTATTATTGGAAAGAAAGACTATTTTGAAAGCTTTTAAAGTTATACACAAAAATGGCGCATTTTTTATAATTTTTTTATTGAAGGAATTTTAATTTATCAGTCTCAAGTGATGGCAAATTAAATATACTTTATGTATATAAATTAGTTGTAATGTCGCACCGGACATACAAAAATTTTTCTGCATCTTTAAATATTGTCCCGAACGACTTCAAAATGGCTCACTTACAAAAATTCTTAAATTTCAGCAATGGTATTATATTCTATCGATATTAAATTTCAATGGAAGTCTATTAATAGTCTTTTCCCGTCAGATGTGCTTTGTTATTTTTGTGCATTTTTAACAACCACAAGAAAATACGTCGCTTTGGGACAAAGAGTGTAGGGTCAAAAATTTATGCAGATAAATATCTTTATGATATGATGTTATAGTCGTAAAATTATGATAGTTTTCAACACTATTATGCAACATTCGCACTTGCGAAGAGTACCACATCTCACACTCTAAGATATTTTTTTGACAAATTTCTTACCCATAATCTCAAATCTCAAATATCAGTCTAAAAAGACTTCTTCAAAAAAAAAACAAGAAATATATATATATATATATATATATATATATAATGATCACCTGGTGTATAGGTCGAACAACGCATAATGAGAGGGTTATAGGGTTGCAGATTGTTCAGTGACTCATATTTAGTATGCATACGAGATTTCGTTGTTATTAGACAATTAGAGCTTGGGCTATCGTCAACCGAGCTACATAATTGGGAACGAAAAGTAAAATATCAGACAGTTATAAAGTTCCTTGACATGAAAGGAAAATCAGTCGAGACCTTAAGAAAATCATAGTGTACAATACAAGTGGTTCAGCATATTTAAACAAGAAAAACCAGAGATAGGACAGAAGGGACGAGGTAACTATACCAGAACTTCTCCGAAAGTTGATAAAATTGTGCTCAACAATGCTCGGACAAAGAAGAAACAACTCCAAAAATGTTCGGAGCATGCGAAACAGCCTTTTATAAAATTCTGCACCAAGAAATTGACAGAGCTAAGGACGATGCAAGTTGAAAGTCCGTAATGCTCACGCTCTTGTAAAGTCGACCGTTCACTAGAGCCGTGCTGCTTTGGTTGACCTGCATAAGGCGGGTTCCGATATTTGGAATCACCTCTCTTGCAGTTCAGACGTGGCCCGGGTGATTATTATCTGTCTTCAAAAATAAAAAATTTTCTGAGAGGTAAAAACTTATCACCGATGATGAAATCAAGCAAGCAATTTTGGCGTATTCTGAATATCAAGAGAACATATTTTGTTTATAAGGTTGAAATTAATTTAACTGAATGATCGGAAGAGGACTGCTGATTAATATTAGGTGAGATAAAAGGTTCGTTTGGTATTTCATTGATTTTTCAAAATATGATAACTTTGTCTATATTGATCCCATTTAAGTCAAATATGCGTAAAGTGTTGCCAACGAGATGCCAACTTCATTATACCCCTCTCGTAGAAGGCTGCGTCCTTATTGGCAAGATGGTAATCACTTGGTGCCTGGTTCGGACTATAAGGTGGGTGCATTAGGACCTCCCATCCGAACACCTGCAGCTTCTGGCGCGTCACCAAAGATGTGTGTGGCCTGGCGTTGTCTTGATGGAACCAACTCGGCGCCAATTATACATATATATAACCTTACAACCTTTTATTCGAAAAGCAATTAAAATACATTTATTTGATTAAAAGTAAGTAATTTTTAATAATGAAAAGCTTCTTGTTCCATAGAGCCGCCCATAACCAAAACCACACGAGACACTTTACATAAATATTGAATCACATAGTAAGTAAATGGGCTTACACACGTTCATGTAAGTTGCCTGAAAAAGCCAGAGTAGTGCGATGCACACTTTGTACGAGAAACAACCACAAATGAAATTATTGTCATGGTATCCCACTTCGCTACATCGGCACACACACACCCATATGCCGTACAGCTTGCAAACCACTTTTTGTATCAAGCATTATTAGAACAGCAGAACTGCGTCACCAACAAGCCAAACCGAAACTACTTTACCCATTACTTACTGTAAAACCACCGTCACCATCACCCCAACCAACGCCTCCCTCTCTCGCACATAGCATGAGTCGCACTCGTATGCCGACTGCCATTTAGCTGGTGGGACAGTTGCTGATGACGATGATTATGAAATTGTAGCATCGCAGCTTGACTTTGAGTTTGAGTTGCGCCGGTGGTAACTGTAATTTACGAAGTTTTACACTGTTTGTGCCATGATTTTATTACGCTGACTTCCAGCTGACATCCTGCCGCCACATTGCAGCCTGCATTTAACATATTGATGGCGCCTAAGTCAAAGCATACGTAAAGCTGTAAAATTTCTCTTGCCATTGCACGAGCTTTCACTTAATTCTTTTGCGCGAATGTTTGCATGTGGTATCTATGAAGAATCATACCAACCTATAATAATAATAAAAATATTAATAAGCACCGGAGGATGCTAACAATTTGCTTTGATAGGAGCTTAGGTGGAGGTGGCGCTCAAGGAGAGAAATTCGTGTGAGGTGTAGAAGCATCTTTAGGGTTTATTTGGTTTTACATTTGTACTGAAAATTTATTTTCATATATAAATAGATAATAGCACCAAATAGATCTTCCACCACCCGACTATTTGCACGGCTATTACCCGCCCAAGGAACCGACAAAGCAGCGTGAGAGATTAATTAAAATATGACGCCGAAGAACTGACAAAACCCATTCAAAATTTGGTCTGATGATACCATGAGTATGGATTGACACAGCACAACCTTGTGATCGACCACAACACGTACGGTGTGGGTTATCTACCCGGCTGAGAAGCTGGTCGACAAGTAGGGAGTAAACTCTTGTAGGACTCAGAGAGATGATCTAGTGATTGATACCCAGAGTACATTGAATTTATAGACGGAACACTTCTCCAACCTGCTTAATGGTAATGAAAATGAAACACCCGTAGATGTTGACCCCAAAAACCCAATCGATTATAATGAAAAAGTAGTTCTACTACCCGACCATGATGAGGTTAGAATAGCGATTGTGCGCTTAAAGAACAACAAAGTGGCTGGAGCTAACTGCCTACCAGCAGAGATAGTCAAGGCATGGCGGGGAAGAACTGGTAAGGTGTATAAATCGGTTGCTTTGTAGAACATGGTCGGACGGCTTGCTCAGTCCAATTCATCCCTAAAACAGGTTACCCCACAGTCTGCGATAATTATGGTGTGACAAATCTTTCCAGGACCAGCCTCGTTTCATCAATCAAACAGGCCATGCTCTAGCCTTGTTATCAGTTATTAATTTAGTTTTGACAAAAATTTTCATTATATAGCAGCCAGCATTAATACCAAAAATAAAAACTGTCTCAAGGTCCAGAGCAGAATCAATCCTACCACTGAACACAGTAGGTAAATGAAAAGCAATGTCAACTCTCGCCGAACAAGTACTAAGATTACGAGTAAATAGTTTTACTAATGCGATTTATGGTCCTTTCATATATAATAATTATATATGGAATAATCCAGAGAATCAAGAGGCAGCAGTGGCTGGGTCATATCGCCCGGATGGAT